GAACCTAACAGGTGCTACCACTCCAGGTCAGGGTGAACCTGGAAATAATAAGCAATTAAAAGTTGGTTCCTCGTTCCTCGAAGTCTCCCAGTCAGAGGCCTTGCTTCTGGGTGTAGTCTATCATTATACCCGGGGTGGTACTGTAGAAATGCACATTAATCGTTGACTATAATCAAGCAGTAGAATAATTAGACTCGCTTTGCTTCGAGATATTATTGGCATTCGCAGGTTTCAGTAAAATAACCTATAAAGCGGCCAGTGTCATTGGCAAGCCGATCAGCTTGGAACCTCTTTGGTAAATAAAGTCTTTTAATATCTGTCTATATCTCTGAGATGAGGTATCATGATTACTTGCATTATTTACATTATTTGAACTGTTATCCTCTTCTTCATTGCCATATTCACAATGTAACATAACTGTACAATATCTGTCTATATCTCTGACATGAGGTATTATGATTACTTGCATTATTTGAATAATTCGGACTGTTATCCTCATCTTCATTGCCATATTTGTAACGTTTCGGCTGTTGTACGCTCCGGCCTTCTTCAAGTGATTGGACCTCTGAGATGAGGTATTAGGATTACTTGCATTATTTACATTATTCGAACTGTTATCCTCATCTTTATTGCCATATTCACAACGTTTCGCCCGTTGTACTCTCCGGCCTTCTTCAAGTGATTGGACCTCTGAGATGAGGTATTATGATTACTTGCATTATTTATATTATTCGGACTGTTATCCTCATCTTCATTACTAAATTCACAACTTTTCGGTCACTAAGACTGAGTCACCTGGAAGAGACATGGCACGTGGAACTAGAACAATCTACTCCGTTGACGAAATAAAGGGTTCGATTGAAAATTCAAATTATCTGACGAAGGCCAGATCGTACAACGGTCGAAACGTTGTGAATTTAACAGTGAAAATGAGGATAAATGTCCGAATAATATAAATAATGTAAGTAAAGTTTTTTAATTTGCTATTGAATGCAGGGATTTGAAAACCCAAATATTTCTCATGCTGACAGCTTCTCTGACAAGCAAATTTATTGAGGTCATTTCGACTGTTATGTTCCTTAATAATGTCGTGGGAAAAGTGAAATGCAAAGGTGCAGCCTGACCCCTTTTTATAAAATGTCACCCCCTGCCATCATTCAGCACCCTTGCTTTCTTCCTGTTTCCATATATATATATATATATATATATATATATATATATATATATTGCTGTAGGGACAGTGCGAATTGGTCACGCAATTTCTCAAGCATCTGCCGCTTTGTTTTGAAAATAAACTGTGGCTGTTCGAAGAGGTCAAAGCCTAAAAAACAGAACGTATTTAAGTTGAAATAATGTTTGTTTTTGGTTTGAGATTGAACGAAAAATTGACTGCGTTAGAAATCATTTATTATAGACATTAAGTCAAGACCATTGAGAAATATCTAAACTGTCAGTTGTATACAACCGCTTCCAAAGATTAATGGTAAAATGAAGAACGCGTGAAGCTCGAGGATCATGGCAAAAATCACCCTTCGCTGAACATTGCAAACTGGCGCTACAGAATCTCAAAGAACTGTCCAAAATAATAGAAACCACATATTTTGAGGATTACAACAACTAAAAGGGATATTACAACTAAATCGAAGAGAAAATGACGACATAATTAAAATGTTAGCATTCCACACCACTTCAAACAAAAGGTTAGGAAGGAAACCCCCATCAATAAGGAACAAGCAATAAATGTTACTGAGCTTCAGAAGACTGATTTCCTAAAGAATTTTAAAAAAAATAAAATATTTTATGAATTTCGACCCAAAACAGTACTGACTGCTCAGTCAATGGGTGCCAAATGTTTCCTTTTAAGGAAACAACAAATTTAGGGCAATTGCGCCCTGGACATTTGCGCCCTGGACAATTGCGGAGCAGATAATTGCGTCCCTAAACAAATACGTCCCTGAATAATTGCATACGTCTGATAATTTTTTTGAAGCTTTTAAACACAATTACCATAAATTTTGAAAAGAATGGACGTAGTACTCATAAATTAAAAAGGAATAAAATAAAATAAAACATTAAAAGTTTATTTTTGTTTAATATGCAATGACAGATTAACAGTTTTGCAAAATCGCTCTACACATCGTCAGTATGTTTTTGTTCCATCGGCGTTTTTCTTATGATAGCAATAGCTGTAATTTTCCACGTCCACAAATATTTTTCCAACAGTGTTTGATTTTCGGAGCTTAGCCATGGTTTCTAAATAAAAATATAATGTATAAAACCCAGAATCTGCGTTTGTGGTACGCACTGCTACAGTGAACTGAATCTGCTAGCTTAATTTTCTCTTGCTTTTAAAAAAGAAATTTTTCTCTCTTTTTATTATTTATGGTAACTACCTATCTGCTTGTTCTGAGTAATTACAGGTAAAGTGGGTAAATTTCTAAATTTAAAGAACTCTTTAAAAATGTGTTTTTTTCTTTCAAAATTCATGTTAACTGCCTTT